GGGAGGAGGAAGAGCAGGAGGAGGAGGAGGAAGAGGAAGAGGAGGAGGAGGAGGAGGAGGAGGAGGAGGAGGAGGAGGAGGAGGAGGAGGAGGAGGAGGAGGAAAGGAGGAGGAGGACAAGGAAGAGGTGGATGAAAACCATGAGGAGACATAATGAACATGGGTGCGTATGGCTGGGGGGAGGAGGTTGATGAGGAGCAGGAGGAGGAGGAATAGGAGGAGGAGGCGGAGGAGGAGGAGGTTGAGGAGGAGGAGGAGGAGGAGGAGGGGGAGTAGGAGGAGGAGGAGAAGGAAGAGGAGGATGAGGAGGAGCATGCTGTCGGGAGGAGGAAGAGGTGGAGGAGGAGGAGGAGGAGGATGCTGTGGATGATGGCAATGATGTTACTCACATATACATGGTACATGAATGGATGATGAGTATTCGGACGTTGAGGCTGATGTCGTTGGTGATGTTGTCGACGACGATGACGACGGTGTTTTTTCCCCAGCCATCCTCTGGTGTTGGTTCTTCGTTTTGAGGAGAGGGCGCCCCGCGTCACCAAATCTCACCTGGCCTCCCACCTCCCTCCTCGTCCCTTGCCTCTGCCCTCCGCATGCCCATATCGGCACACCCCTCACGCGTTTCGCAGCTCCATAGGGAGCTCCGACTAAGGCTCCAGCGGGGGGGGGGCGCATGCTGTCTCCCAGCCCATTCGGCACACCACTCACACTTGTGGCAGCTCCATAGGGAGCTCCAACTACGGCCGCAGGGGCGAGGGTGACCGCATGCGGTCTCCTAGCCCAGTCGGCACATCCTCACATGCTTCGTGGCGCCATAGGGAGCTCCAACTGAGGCATCAGTGGGGAGGGGGACCGCATGCGGTCCCCCAGCGTATTTCGGCGCACCCTCACACAGTTCGTGGCCCCATGGGGAGCTCCAATAGAGGCCCGGTGGCAAAGCCTGCGTGCGTCCCAGGCCCACGTCGGCGCACCCCTCACACGCATCGTGGCCCCATCAGGAGCTCCACCGAAGGCCCCTGTAGCAACGTCCACATGCGTCCCCAGGCCCATTCTGGCACATCCCTCGCACGTTCGTGTCCCCGTAGGGAGTTCCGCCGAAGGCTCCAATGGCAGCGCCCGCATGCGTCCCCAGGGCCCATTCTGGCACACCGCTCACACGTTTCGTGGACCCATGGGGAGCTCCTCCGAAGGCCCCAGTGGCAGGGCCCGCATGCGCCCCACAGGCCGTTTTGGCACGCTCTTCACACGTTCCGTGGCCCGACAGGTAGCTCCACTGAAGGCGATATTCGCAAGTGCAGTATTCACAACTGCATTCGGTTGGGCCCTTCGCCAGACTAGTTTTATGACGATGATGGTGATGATGGTGATGATGATGATGATGATGATGATGATGAGGAGGAAGGCAAGTACGACGATGCTGCTTTTTCTTGATTGCGTGGGTGTGTGATGATGATGATGATGATGATGATGATGATTTTGATGATGATGAATCTTATGACGATGATGATGATGATGATGCTGATGATGATGCTGATGATGATGATGGCGTTGGTAATGCTGATGCTGCTGCTGATGGTGATGATGTTGATGTTGATGACGATGGGGATGGTGATGATTGATGATAATGATGCTGCTGCTGATGATGATCTCGACGATGTTGATGCTTGCCATTACATGATGGTGCAGGTGATTGTGTTACTGATACTTGCTATGCTGGTGCTGACGAGAAACACGCTGCTTTTGCTGTGATGCAGATTCTCATGATGATGTGGACGCGGTTGATGGTGATTCGTTTCATGATCATGCGGATGATTATGACAGCGGCTGACGGTGACGACGATGACAATAATAATGATGATGATGGTGATGATGGATGATGGTGATGAGGAATGATTGTGATGTTGATGTTGATGTTGATGATGATGATGGTGATGATGATGATGGTGTTGGTGGTGGTGATGGGGTTGTGGTGGTGGTAGTGGTGGCGATTATGATGATCATGCTGCTGCTGATGATAATGCTGATGATGATGATGATGATGCTGCTGTTGCTGACGATGATCATGATGATGCTGCTGCTGATGATGATGAGGCGTCCGCGTGGATCGTCGAGGTCATGTCCAGAGTGGGGAAAGAGCGCCCTTTGGCTACGGGAGCTTTTCCCACCCCACATGGAGTGATTCGTTCTGGTCTGAGACAGCCGAGCTTTCAGAGTTCTCGACTTTTGTGAGAGGTTGTGTGTAGGTGTGGTGTGTAAGATAGTCTAGCTGCCAGCTGGCCTGGATAAACTTTGAGCAGTAATCCAAGTCCAAGCCTAAGATGATGATGATGATGATGATGATGCTGATGATGATGATGATGATGGTGGTGGTGATGGTTGTGGTGACTATGCCGTGATCATGATGTGGATAATGTGGATGATGATGGTGCTGATGATGATGACGATGATGATGCTGATGCTGATGCTGATGATGATCATGATGATGATGATGATGATGATGGTGATGATGATGATGATGATGATGATGATGATGATGATGATGGTGATGGTGATGATGATGATGATGATGATGATGACGACGATTAGTATTGTGATGCTGCTGATGATGATGATTCTGATTCGGATGATTTTGATGATGATGATGAAGAAGATAATGAACACGATTTGATGATGTTGATATGGCGATGCGGAGGGTGGATGAGGGAGCAGGGAAGGGAGGAGAAGGAATCGTGCACGCTCGAGGGGGAGGAGGGGGATCTAGAGCATGAGCAGGAGAGTGGAGGATGGAGAGTGATCAGGAGGAGGAGGAGGAGGAGGAGGAGGAGGAGGAGGAGGAGGAGGTGCAGGAGGAGGATGGGGTAATGTTCAACGAAAAGAAGAGCGGGGAGGAGTATGAATGAGGAGCAGGACGAGGAGGAGGTGGATGACAGGGGAGAGGCGGAGGTGGAGGAGGACGACGAGGAGGGGCAGGACGAGAGACAGGAGAGGGAGGGGTAGGTGTGGGAGGTCGAGGTGGAGGTGGAGGAGGAGGAGAGAGGGAGAGAGGAAGAGAGGAAGAGGGAGAGCGCGCCAGAGCGGCCCGGCGGACGGCCCTTCTCCAGGGGCACGGCGGGGGCGGCCTGGCGCCGAAATCGGATGTTCAGCTCCAGCTCAGGAGGGGAAAACACACAGACACAATGAATCGTCGATCTCCAGGAAGATATGGGAAAATATGGGAAGTGGGGGGGGAGACAGAAACCCAGAAAATATGGGGAAATATGGGAATTTTTTTATTTGTTTGGATTTATTTGTGTGTCCCAGGCCCCCTTCACCAGCGAGGCCGCGTTCGCGAGGTCAACGGTCGCTAGCTTCACCACGCAGCTAGCTCCCAAAGATAGAGACAGCAAGAGCTATCGCCAGGAATGTGTCGCTTCTGGCAGTCGGGTCTCACGTTCTTTTGCAAGAGCGGTCACAGAGACGATCTTAAAGTTCTGTTCTGTGCAAGCCGTTGAGCTTCTCATCGATGGCCTCTCTGGTGAGCTGAGTAGGTTTCAAATGTACTGCTGGTTCGACGTATCTTGCAATGGCCAGAACAATCCCGCGATGCCATAACTTATGACTGTTGTTTGCATGATATGCTTGGCGGCACTCTGCTTTCTTGGACTCGAGATCTGCAGACAACGCTTCAATCTTGCGCATCAAAGCATAACGGAAATCTATGTTCGCCGTGGTCTTCACTTCCATCACCTGTTTCCGAACAGCACGCCCACGTCAACAGGATTGGATAACAATGGCCGTTGGCGATGTAAACTCATCGATTGCAAACGTCGTTGCCTTGATAGGCTCCCATTGCCTTGTAACATCTGCCACGGTTTTGTTCCGATCGTCTCGCGGAAATGCCTCCTGTTGTGCCCACGACAGTGATGTCTTTTGGTCCACAACTTCCTCTGGAATGGCCTGCATGAGCATCATGAATGCACCAATCTTACCCTGGATGCGAAGTAAGGTCGAAACCAAATCATTCGAATAGTCATTATCGTAAGCCAACGAAGAACCCAATCCAGCATTTAGCTCGTTGTACGGTGCATTCAAGAATGTCCTCAAGCCGTTCGTATTGATGAATGCTTTTCGCACCGCATTATGTTGCAAACGCTGCCGTCTTCTTTGAGGCCGGGACAGCTTTGCATTGCATGTGTTGCTCTCGCCGCTTGGACGCACAAGGTCATCACGCATCGCGATGGGTGACGCGAGGCGGGGCCGCTCCGTTGCATGATGCTGATGCTGATGCTGATGCTGACGCTGATGTCGATGCCGATGCTGATGCTGCTGCCGCTGATGATGATGCTGATGCTGATGCTGATGCTGATGCTGATGCTAATGATGCTGGTGCTGGCACTGAGATGATAAGGGTGACGGCGAAACTGATGATGACAATGATGGTGTCGATGACGATGACGATGATGATGACGATGATGATGATGATGATGCTGATGAAGATGCTGATGATGATGGTGGTGGTGGTGGTGGTGATGATTACGATGATGATGAAGATGATGATTCTGCTTACGATGATGATGATGATGACGATGATGATGCTGATGATGATGCTGATGCTGATGATGATGATGATGGTGCTGATGATGATGATGCTGATGCTGATGATGATGGTGGCGGTGGTGATGATGATGACGATGATGGTGATGCTAGTGATGATGCGAAGATGCAGATGACGACGATGATGTCGATGATGAGGGATGATCGTTATGGTTGTGTGTTGTTGTTGTTGATGTTGATGTTGTTGTTGTTGTTGTTGTTGATGATGATGATGATGATGATGATGATGATGATGATGATGATGAGGGGCAGGAGAGGGGAGGAGGAGGAGGAGGAGGAGGAGGAGGAGCAGGAGGAGGAGGAGGAGGAGGAGGAGGAGGAGGAGGAGGAGGAGGAGGAGGAGGGGGCGGGGGGGAAGAGAATTATAAGGACGAGGATGATGAGCGGGGGCAGGAGGAAGACCGCAG